TGCTTTGCTTTCATATAATTTAAATTTTAAGGTTGACTGAGGTGTATTTGTTGATTCTGTTAACATATGCCCCTCATAATCGATCTGTTTTGTCGATAAATCATCCATCATTTTTGTTGACCCTTCTTTCGTAGTGGGCATATCGGTTGTTAAAGTAGAAATTTTCACAGTAGGCAAAATTTCTTTATAATTATCCTCGCTAAATTGATACACTGTATTCAGTGTAGTTTCTTCCATAGTTTTATCCGTAATATCTGTTACATCATTTCGAAACGATGTTGTAGGCGTAGAAATTAATTGTGAATGCTCGGTTGTGAAGTCGTTTTTCGCTTCGGTAGTCAACGTATCATAATTCGTAATAGACAAATTAGATTCTTTGTCACTGTTCATAGCTACTCGTGTAGTTTCAGAGGTTGTAGAATAAATTTCACTAGACGACAATACCACGGTAGCCTTTGTTGTTTCTAATAATTCTTTTGGCGTCAATAATTCTGAGTTTGATAACATCGTTACTTTTGATTCCCTCGTTATTTCTTCCGGAGTTTGCTCATAATTATTACCGAAAACTATCTCTGTAGTTTTAAAAATATCATTTTGTTGAGTATTTAACTCTCCTGTATATGTATTGGCAGACATACTTTCATCCGATTTGTATGTTGATCCATAACTAAGATTTATATTTTCAGTTGTTTGATTATAATTTAATTTATCAATGATTTTCGAGGTGGTGATATCATAGAAATCTGAAATTTTATTATAATCTTTTATCGATGGTGAAAATTCGAGAGTAGATGTTAGGCTTGTGTCTGAAAAATTTTCCGTAATGGAACTTTTATTTTTGTAATGAGATTCTGTAGAGGGCTGAGCATATATTTTTGAATTAGTACTCAAATCATATTCTTTGTTTTGATGATTATCATGACTTTCTATATGTGATTCGATTTTTAAGTCATTAATAGATGTTGAAAATGCATCAGTGTTATACAAAATGGTTGTAGTAGTTGATTTGTCTACATAAATATCGTAAATAGAGGTTGCAACACTTGATTTATTTAGAGATAATTCTTTCAACTGGAGAATCGTATCAGAGTTAGTTGATGTGGATTCCATAATAACATTTTGTGAATCTTTAGTAAACTCTAAAGTTGGTAAAGTAGGGGTAGTGTTAGTCCCCACTGATACTGTGATTTGATCCGTAAAAGATGTTGTTGATTTTGGTGTTTCAGTGTATCCTATTTCAAGGGTGTACTCCTGATTTATGAAGGTGGCATTTGTATCATTAACAGAATGATTAGACACATTTGGATTATTTTTTTTGTTTTGTATAATTGTTTGTTCAGTGGTTGGGTTTTCTATTTGCATTATATTACTAGTTGTAAAATCTGTTATAAGACCTTGAGGTGAGCTTGAATCTAAAGAAGCCGAGTTTGTTACGATGTTAAAAGTAGATTCTGTATTTGTTATAATGTCATGATTAGCAGTAGAATACAACATTGTTACTTCATCATTTTTTGAATATACAACATTATCCTTTTTATCAGGGAACGACGTCATTGAAATTCCATAAATAGTCGATTCGTCTTGAGTTGACAGTTTAATCCTATTTTCATTTGAATCTTGTTCTTTTCCAAAAGTCATTGAACTTTGAGTCGTAAAATCTGCAGGCAATGGTGTCTCCGTTGAAGTCAAAGTTGTTTCTTGTTGATAATGGGTATAAGTTGGTATATTACCTGATGTAGTAGTCTTCGAGTAAGATGTTTGTTCATTGTTAATTGTTGTACTTTCAGATATAGTCGTTTTCTCTATTTCGTTATCTAAATTTTTGTTTATAAATTTAGAGTTTGCTTTAGCAATAATAGATTCGGTAGTTATGGGTTCTTCCAATGTACTTGGCATAGAATGGTGAATGGAAGATATATCATCAGTTACTAATGATAATTTAGTATAAGGCGAGGGAGTGGCTTCAGTAAGATCATTTGTTGTTAATTTTACAGCAGATTCCATAGTACTGTCTCTGATGTTATATTGTTGTATAGTAGTTGAAATAACATCTGAGTTCTCTGTTTGAGTTTCAAAATTATAATCATTTTTTACATTTTCACTATATCCGTAACTTACTTCTGTTATTGGTTCGTCAGAACTATGAGTCACTGTTATTGTAGTTTCCGTAGGAGTATTCGAAATATTCTGATTTAATTGTTTGTTTTGTGTAATTGTATGTTCAGTGGTCATGTTTTGTATATGCATTATATTACTAGTTGTTAAATCTGTTATAAGATCTTGAGGTGAGCTTGAATCTAAAGAAACCGAGTTTGTTACGATGTTAAAAGTAGATTCTGTATTTGTTATAATGTCATGGTTAGCAGTGGAATACAACATTGTTACTTCATCATTTTTTGTGTCTACAACATTATCCTTGTTATCAGGGAACGACGTAACTGAAATTCCATAAATAGTCGATTCGTCTTGAGTTGAAGGTTTAATCCTATTTTCATTTGAATCTTGTTCTTTTCCAAAAGTCATTGAACTTTGAGTCGTAAATTCTGCAGTCAATGGTGTTTCCGTTGAAGTCAAAGTGGTTTCTAGTTGATTAGGCGTGTAAGTTGGTATATTACCTGATGTAGTAGTCTTCGAGTAAGATGTTTGTTCAATGTTAATCGTTGTACTTTCAGATATAGTCGTTTTGTCTATTTCGTTACCTAAATTATTGTTTATAAATTTAGGGTTTGCTTTAGCAATAATAGATTCGGTAGTTATGGGTTCTTCCAATATACTTGGCATAGAATGGTGAATGGAAGATATATCATCAGTTACTAATGATAATTTAGTATAAAGCGAGGGAGTGGCTTCAGTAAGATCATTTGTTGTTAATTTTACAGCAGAGTCCATAGTACTGTTTTTGATTTTATATTGTTGTATAGTAGTTGAAACAACATCGGAGTTCTCTGTTTGAGTTTCAAAATTATAATCATTTTTTACATTTTCACTATATCCGTAACTTACTTCTGTTATTGGTTCGTCAGAACTATGAGTCATAGTTATCGTAGTTTCCGTAGGAGTATTCGAAACATTCTGATTTAATTGTTTGTTTTGTGTAATTGTATTTTCAGTGGTCGTGTTTTGTATACGCATTATATTACTAGTTCTTAAATTTGTTATAAGATCTTGAGGTGAGCTTGAATCTAAAGAAGCCGAGTTTGTTACGATGTTAAAACTAGATTCTGTATTTGTTATAATGTCATGATTAGCAGTGGAATACAACATTGTTACTTCATCATTTTTTGTGTCTACAACATTATCCTTGTTATCAGGGAACGACGTCACTGAAATTCCATAAATAGTCGATTCGTCTTGAGTTGAAGGTTTAATCCTATTTTCATTTGAATCTTGTTCTTTTCCAAAAGACATTGAACTTTGTGGCGTAAATTCTGCAGTCAATGGTGTTTCCGTTGAAGTCAAAGTTGTTTCTAGTTGCTTAGGCCTATAAGTTGGTATATTACCTGATGTAGTAGTCTTCCAGTAAGATGTTTGTTCAATGTTAATCGTTGTACTTTCAGATAAAAATTTTGTCTCTATTTCGTTATCCAAATTTTTGTTTATAAATTTAGGGTTTGCTTTAGTAATAACTGATTCGGTAGTTATGGGTTCTTCCAATGTACTTGGCATAGAATGGTGAATGGAAGATATATCATCAGTTACTAATGATAATTTAGTATAAGGCGAGGGAGTGGCTTCAGTAAGATCATTTGTTGTTAATTTTACAGCAGATTCCATAGTACTGTCTTTGATGTTATATTGTTGTATAGTAGTTGAAACAACATCGGAGTTCTCTGTTTGAGTTTCAAAATTATAATCATTTTTTACATTTTCACTATATCCGTAACTTACTTCTGTTATTGGTTCGTCAGAACTATGAGTTACTGTTATCGTAGTTTCCGTAGGAGTATTACTTTCGGTATTCGTATTGAATTCGGTATTGGTATCGTATACTGAATAAGTCTGCAAATCAACTTTAGACGATGAAGTTGTCATTCTTTCTGTAGATCTCGCAATTTTTTCTTCATCGTTTTCATTTAAATAATTAATATTCACCAGATTATTTGCAGTTTCCACAGTACTCGTTTTCTTATTATTTTGATCTGGCGAAAAAGGAATATAGTTTTTATTTGTTGTTTGAGTTATTGCGTCGCGTTCTATGTATTCGCCATAGTAATTTGTTGATAGGGTTGGTCTCGCAGTATGTGTATACAATGATTTCATGCTATTTATTTCAATATCTTCTTTCAAATCTTTTTCTGTAATAATATCTGGCTCAAAAGGTGTGGACGTTATTGTTGTAATATCATATTTTTTAACTTCTTGACCATCAGTTTGAAAATTAGTGGTAAATATATAACTCCTTAGAGTATTACTCTCCATATAGTTTCTAGAACTAGTGGATGTTTCTAAATTATCTGGGAAATCTGTGGTATCTGTATACTTTACGTCTAAACTTTTTGAGGTTGTAATGACTCTTACAGTATTTTCTGTATTTATAGTCTGAGATGACTCTTCAGTTGCTGGTTTCAAAATGGCTTCAGAAAATGTATTTTTTATTTGATCGTTTACCAGTGTAGATTCAGTAAAAATATTATCATTCGTTTCTCCTTCATTTAAAATTAACGTCGTTGTACTTTCATAAGTTGGCTTTGTCACCAAATGTTCATTTTCTAGAGGTTTCATCGACCCATTATCACTAAAGTCTTTATAAATTGTCACTAGAGAACTGGTGTCAAGTTCAATATTAGTTTCTGTTGCATTTAAAAATAGTGAGCTAGTTGTGATGTCATTATCTGATTTTGAATTATCAGTACTTACAAATAAACCATTATATATGCCATTATTAGTTTTAGTTTTATTTGGCATTGTAGTGGTAGTTGATACTTGATCTATTATTTCATTTTGCTTAATAAATTCTGGAATAGAAGTTACATGCGTATAATTATTGTTTAATTTTCTTTGATTCTCTGGCGTTTTATACAGTTTATTATCATTTGAATACTTTGTCGTACCATTTGTTTCAGTACGAGAAGAAAATGGCTTAACAGTACTTTCGGAGTTAATTGTACTGCTACTTTGTACGAGTTCATCGGAATCTAATGTTGACTGATATTGATTATTAAATTCTGTATAAAAAGAAATTCCTGGTGTTGTATCTTCTGCTACTAAATTATTTGTACTTTTTGTTACTGCTTCAACTGTAGATGTACTTAAAGTAAGATCATCCATAGTTGTATCTGATCTTGTTATACCTTGCATTGTATAACTTTTGTCTTTTGAAGTTGTGATTAAATCATCTTGTTCCATTTTGTTGTCAAACATATCAGGGTTAGAATTTTCACTGGCTGTTCTTGTTTCATAATGTGTATCCGTAAAATGATAAGTCATAGATGTTGTACTAAGGGATGATGTAACGATAGTTTTATCTTCATCACTAGAGTCTAATAATGTGCTTGAGGCATTATTAAAGGATTCATTTGTATTATCTTTGTGAACATTATCTACTGTATTTTTACTTTCACTGGGGAAACTCGTTGTGTGTTTAACATTTTGTGTAGTTGTAAAGTCTGTTGATGTATACGTTTCAGCGGTTGTCATTTCCGTATTAGTAAAGGCATCATAGTCAAAGTCAGTTACTACAGTGTTTTGAATGGGCTTAACTGTCGATACTGCCAACTCGGAATCAATAGTAGTAATTTCGGAGTATGTTAGTGGGACATTTTTAGGGCGATCATCTGTTAATAGGAACGTAATAATAAACATGTTAATAAAAGTTATACAAAATAACATTTAAAAAAAAACTCATAAAAAGATGATTAATTAAAAAGCCTTCGTGTTAATATGTTTCATATTATGAGGAAAAATCCGCATCAATAAATCAAATGAAGAAAAGAAAGATTTATTTACTGGCATCCAAATCCATAGAAAGAAAGAAAAAAATTAGAAGAGATGGGTATTTACACTTAACAGAAACATTGATTACATTTTTGGAATATGTTAGATAAGTTAGGAGAAAGAAGTATAATGAAGTGATGAATGTTAGTATATTTGAAGTATAGTACGGTCTTCAAGTCTAAAAACGAATTAAAATAGCCTAAACAACAGATATATTGCTACAGCTGATACCATAAACGTGTGTCAAATATTGTAACAATATTGCATCTACGAAATGACTATGTTGTCTGCCGGGTCTGCCGTGATAGTGTAGCCAGTATTTTGTGGCGTTTTATCGGACAAAATGGTATGTTAAAATGTATAGCAATAACCAGTTCATCTGGAGTTAGTTTTGCTATTCACAGAATATATATAGTAAATGCAGACATACCAGTTTTATAATAGTAGTCCGCCGCAATTTTAAATACTTATGTGAATTTAGCAAATACACTAAAGTCAAAGTCTTGCCAGAATACATTTACAATTAGCTAAATCACACAAGACATTAGCACAACTATGGCATGTCAAAAGAGTCAGGCCTTAACGTAAAATATTTTAATACTTACTTTCCATACAAGCTCCCGAAAACGGGTCACAAGGTACTCCGGGTCGACAGTGAGCGCAATGTGTCCCAGGCGCATCTAATTTTCAATAAAATAAAATTCAATTAAAAAATACAAAAATAGAAAAAGCTTTATATTTATGTTTAAACAGGCCTAGTATATGGTTGGAATTATACATTTATTTTTACCGAGTAGTAGCGGCGTAAGAGAATTCACTTCCTCATACCATCCCGTGGATATTGTAAGAGGCGACAGAATGAAACTGAAAAACAACTACTCAAAATGATAAATAACTGTGGTTGCCAACCCGTCTACCAATGTGGCAACTATGGCAAAATTCACATATATGATGCAATCTATGGGTGAGGCCTTTGTGCAGTAGTGGACGTTTAATAGTCTCTAATGAATAAAAAAACTATTTAATTTTTATTCATTATATATTATTACTAATAAAATAAACTTATTGAAAGTATTTTTTTTATTTACCACTGGTTCGGAAAATAGTTCTATTCCGGAGAGGACCAGCAAGGAACCCGGTCGGATTATTTTTTGGACATAAAATTTAACATTAATTTGGATAATTATTTACATGAAATATAATAAAACCAGATGATAGCGATCACCTCATTTCCAGGAGCTTTTTTCATTCATGTATTCCTTAATATTAAAATTACAGTTTTTATACAGTTATTTTCAATAAAATAGTAGTTTATTTTATTGAAAATAAATCAAATAAAAGTTATTTAAATCAAAGAAAAAAAAGGAAAGTTTAATAACTGGCATTACAAGCTTTTGTTTATTTCTAGTACATATTTAAAGTATTAATATGTTTGTTCTTATCAAACCAATTTATGTTTTCATGCACATTTACATTTGCGTAAATAAATGGTGATGGAATTTTACGGATCTTATCGCGTTTAATTTTAACTTTTTTAATTACCGATGCTGTTCAGTAAAGAATATGGCTGGCTGCTACCATCTGCTTGGTATCCCATAATTAATAAAATTAAATTCAAACCTAAGCATACTAACGCACAAGACTTCAAGATACTGTATGCTCGTTCTGCTCAGATCGGATCAAAAATTAATAATTAAAAGTTGAAGGTAGCCTTTGTTAACTATAACATCAGGACGTCAAATACCTCAGTCCCCCTCATGACCATGGGTGCTGTAAGGTGTCCGAAGCGTCGAATTAAAAAAATTAAAATTAAACTTGGTAAAATCCCTCCAATCAGTTTTGTTCCATGCGTAGTATTTGCATAAATATAAGAAATAAATATTTTGCGATGCTCAAGTTTGTATATTTATTTCTATAAACTTTTCTCTAAAGGGCTTTACAATTTAAGTCAAATTCCCGTAGGGTCCTCTTTTGCAAAACAAATACAGTTTCAATGTCAGTCGCGTTACCCCATAGCAAAATACCATAATAATTTTTTAACATTGGGCATTGTAAATAATAATACACTTTGTTTTGTTGCCGTTCAAAAGCAAATTGTTGGCGTTAAAACAATGTACTAATTTCGATAGAGCATCGTCACAAGTAATTGATTGCCGTAATAAATTAAGATCAATAAAAGATACATAATTAAAATTAAGATTAATAATAAAAAATATTAAACTTAATACTTATTTCAAAACTACTACACCCACCTGCAACACATGCGCATCCATCGCAATGCCTATTTTGGTATCGAGCGCAGTCAGCGTCGGTTTGACACTGGCATACTAGGAAAAAAATATAATTAAGAAATCATTAGGTTTTATTAAGATAGATGTAATGTATTAAATAGAAATAAAAAAAAATGTTCCTACAATATACCAAGTATGATACGGCACATAAAATTTAACTACAATAAAGAAATGTAATTTACTAATTGTTTCTATGAATAGACAATGCAAAATGAGAATCTACAATATTTTAGTTTATTATTATGGTTGGTTAACAACAAAAGATAATGCAACAACACCTTAATAATATTATTAAAAATATTTGGTTTTATATTTGTAACTTTGAGCTTCCGTGCTGTGGAGGCGTAAGAGAATCAAACATTTAAAGTTATCGCCTAGGTGTCTAAGGTTTTAGAGGAAAATACTAGAAAAATGGCTTCCTTGTGACGAACGGACGGAGGTCACGAGGTTCATCATATCCATCGTCAACATAATATGTCAGCCCTAAAATATGCAGTCCTATTGACATCCGCGTGCCAAGCGTTACGACTATCGCATATTCTCATTTATTTATTTATTCATCTATCTTTATATACATAATCGATGGTGTGTCTGTAATTGATTGTGAAACTTCTTAACGTCTTGACCGATTGATGTCATATTCACACAATATTTTCTTCTGTCGAGACGATGGTTCATAGCTTTGTTATGACGGGATAGGTAGCGTTATGGTCGAATTACTAATATACTTTGTATTTACACCGTGAAAAAATCCGCAATGATTCAGAGTGAAAATATTCGCACCATCTACCGGAAAATTCATTACCACATTTGCCGGCCCAGCTAGTAAATACGTATATCATAAACTCTTACCGTGTGATAGTGGTGTAAAAATCCGTAATCCTGTTTCGTTTTGGTATGTCGTAAGGGGTAATTATCTACTAGTTTTAATAAATTCATACATATACTTCCTTCTCCCTTTTACATTTGTCAGGAAGCAGTCCGAGCGTTTGGATTTTGATTGTGTCAAGCAGTGCTACGAGCTATGACACACTGTGACACTTGACGTAAAGCGGCTTCTCGCAACAAAAAAAAAACAAGTAGCCAACTACTAACCTACCTCTACTATCTTAGATCATAGAAATACATCTCGAGTAATTGATATCCCCTCCTCAGAACAGAGTGAGAAAAGTCGGGAATACAACTTCGTATTAATCTTATTTCGCTTCTTATTCATTTTAATATTTGTATCTATTATATCGTATATTCCACTAAAGTTGGTTTGGCAGAAAACTATAAGAACGAGAAGTGAATAAGTCGGAAATTTAATGTTTTTAATAAATTTTTACAGGACATATTGAAATAAGAACGTCGAGGAAGAACTGAATTCCTCTTATTTACTTATTTTTTAAGTTTTACCTCCACACCTACAATAGTACAAGCGGGCGGGCTTAATGCCAATTTATCTTAATTGGAAGGCTAAAAGGTTATTAGCAACGAGTTTAAGATATCGGGGCTGTAAGAAATTTAATAGTTTAATTTTAACTTTAACTTTAAATTTATAGACGCCATTTTGAGAGTTGACATTATTGTAAATATTTTAGTCGATCTTAGTATTGGGTAGTGTACTCGTAGTAAGTTTTATTTAAGTTGGTTTTTAGAATTGTTTCTAATTATTGCCAAAGTTTGTTTGCTATTTTTTCTTAATATATTAGTTATAGTATACGAGTCCTCCTCCTAGTTTGGTTTTATAGGGTGACACATCTTAAGATGACCATATGACCCTCATGTACCTTATAATGTCATTTACTAAAGGAGAAAACAGAGGAGTACGTCTTTTTTACTATTATAGGCCAGTGCTTGATTATTACCCCACGAATAACTTCAAAAAGCCTTTTTATTTTTCCTTTGATTCTCTTACGCCGCTACTGAATTGAAGTTGTTATAAAATGTATTTAGATTAAGGAATACAGGCAAAGTACCCTTAGAACAAACAGGCTGGTGGTCGACAACAGAACAGCGTTGACCAGCTATGCAAGGACCACCATTAGCGCAAGGATCTGCGCACCGTCCATTAACACATGCGAGGCCTGCTGCACAATGCTCGTGTGCACCGCATTCTAAAGCTGTACACATATATTTAGTTAATGCTAAAATATATAGGTATTTAAGTAAATTTTAGAAAAATATGATACAAAAAAAACTGAAGTATCTATTAAAAAAACAATGGCTTAAAATGACAGTTGCAGTTCACAAAAGTAAAAAAAAAAAAAACTATTTTCTGTAAACTAAAACCAAAAAATTACACTACGAAAATGCTTTACATTCACAAGATAACATACGTAAAGGTAGCAAAAAATTTTAAACTACAATAACCGATTATAAAACAATAAATTAGTAAGTATACACACACATATAAATATTAAAAAGTACAAGAATAATAAAGGCTATAAACCTTGCAGTTGCAAACTCTGTCTCGTGGCAGTTTTGTTGCAGCTAGTATTATGAGAGAGTTTTAAGGCGTTAGTATAAAGTGCCCAAGCGCATCCGCCACCAGAATGTGAAAGTTACCTTCAAAATGAATAATATACACATAGTAATACCATGCTACAAAAACTACCTGATATAGAAGAAATTCAAACTGTGGAAAAAGATAATCATGCTAGAAACGTAAGAAAGACAGAAAGAGCCGCATGAAGTATAAATTATCTATATTTCCTGCAATACGAAGAAAAATATATTAAGACTCATTTAAGACGATAAAGTACTAATAGAAGTTCTATAAAATATTTACATTTTGTTATGCGGCAAAATTACCTTTAATGCAGCCATGCTTTTCATCATGAGTAAATCCACTAGGACAAAACTTGCAAACGGGGTGATGATCTTCAACTGAACATGGAGCATCACCACATGCACCTTTGCATGGATCTTTACATTGAAAATCAACGCAAGCCAAGTTCTGCGGACATCCATTGTCTCTTAAGCAAATCGATACGCTTGGGTGGCAATCCTCAACGCAAACGCACATTACTCGGTGCTCTACTACTTCACATTGCTTTCCTTGGGGACACATAGGCTCACGTGATGCTAAACAAGGATTCACGCATTTTGAATTACGACAAACAGCATTTGATGGACATTGATCGTCCCTTGTGCATTCTGCGTGTTCTGGGGCGCACGTTAATTCCCCTTTTTCATTCAATGCAAATCCATTACGGCATACACAAACAGGTATATGGTTTCTTACTTCGCATCTCTGATTTGGCCTGCAGTTCTGATATTCCATGCAAGGATTACGACACTGGTTAGTGCTTAAGTCACATGCCAATTTGGGTGGACATGGCTTGGTGTCTGAACAGGTGATGGTTGTATTTAGTTCGACTGTAGGCTTGCAGGTAGGATCGAGGCGGCAAGCTAGGCGCGGCTGACCCACGTAACATTGTGGACATGAACACTGAGCTCGATGCATGACAGACACGCAGAGCGCATCTTCACCGCATACGCCTCGTATTGTACATGGGTCGACACAATGTAAGCTCAAACACGCTTTGTCTACTGGACAGTCCTTGTCACTCGTGCATTCGATACCTAGGAAGATGTGAAAGAAGAAAGCAGAGTCGAAAGAGCTGTACCTTCAGCCACGAAGAGGAAACTTTCTCACGAGACAGTGCATGCTTTTTGAAACTGATAGTTTATGATCAAAGATATATAACGGTATATTATAATAAAAGCGATATGTACATGAAGCCGAACAAATGTTACTGACTGGATTTAAGCACGAACGGTGAGAATGCTTCCACTAATATAGACATAATTTATTCTTTACTATAATACAGTATTCAACACAGTTTGATATTAAAATTCAAACATAGAAATAAGTTTTTGTACAAAAGAGGTGAAATTGCATAAAACTGGATTTCATAGGAACCTCGCCAATTAATTTTACACAAATATTTTATAAATAACTAAAAATATTTAATCAATATCATTTTAAGCAATTTCATTCTGTTTAAAAATCAATTTTTTGACGGAATTTTATATTTAAAATCGTGTGACGCAATTATACGACCAATGTTTATAGGGATAAAATGTATCGTGCATTTTTACACGTGGCAAAAAAATGAGAAATAGCTTTTTAACTTACTGGTGTGACATTCGATATCAGCTTGTCCTTCTGTACCAGGAATACAGCGACAAACAAATTCCGCTCCTTCTCTCAAACATTCTCCATTTATTCCACATCCAGTTGTTCTACAATCAACTACACTACGTTCTTGATTACCTGTAAATGATATATTAAATTCAAGTTACAACGTATTATTATTTTATTCTATATTAATATTAGTGCTGGATTAATAGACTTTCACAATGGCAGTAACTTACATTCAATGTTTGGATCTCCTTTAGGATAATTACGGGGACAATAGCAATGAGGTTGTCCGTTATATCCTACGCGGCATTGGGCATTTATTCCACAATTTTTAAGTGCACAAGGTGCCATGGTACCACAGAAACACTGTCGCTGTGGATTGCCAGCGCATCCGGGTGGACATGTGCACTCAAAGCTGCCGTCATCTAAATCACGGCATCGGGCGTCAATTCCGCAAGGGTTACGCAAACAGCTTCCCGTTGGTTGTTGAGAACACTCTACTTTTGGATTTCCTACATAATTTGGTGGGCAAGCACATTGTGGAGTTCTGTTAACAGAGCGGCATATAGCGTTAACACCACATCTGCCCAAGCAAACGTTCTTGCATCTACCATCTTTGTTACATTCTTCATCTTCTCCACAGTCGCCGTTTTTAAGACATTCGTACTGTTTACATTCGGTCAAAGGATCTCCTGAGTAACCACTAGCACAACTACATACTGCCCGATGGCGCGTAGCTAAACATAAAGCATTTTTTCCACAAGAATTTTCTCTACACACTGATACACACTGTTTTAGTGAGCACATCATATCATCTCCACAATCTCTGTCATTATTACAGCCTGGGACACATACACCTTGTGAGCATATCTGTCTTTCTGGGCATTTACTCCTAGGGGAGCATAACGATCTACAGCCACCGTTAACACATTTCTCTCCACAAGAGCAATCTGAATTATTTTCACAAAGGGAAGTGCAATAACCGCTGTCATCACAAGGGCAAAATCCGTCGCATGATAATCTTTTCTTTTTACATTCGACTAGAGAATTGCCGGTGTAATTACTTGAGCAACTACATTGGGTATGATGATTAATTACTTTACATTCAGCACAGATACCGCAACTTCTACTGTCCTTACAAGGATCTAAAAATTAATTTGATCATTAGTAACTCCTAATTTAGAAATAAATTAAAATATTCAACATCAAAATAAGTAAACTCAAAAAATTTACCCTTGCACTGTCCATCCAAACAGGCTTGATCGTCATTACAAGCATTGTCATCGCGACAACCTTGTTTACATATTCTATTTTCACATATTTGACCATTATTGCAAGCATCATCGCTATTACACACTACCCTACAAATTCCTCGAACACATTTTTCATTCGATAAGCAAACCACGTCGCTGCAAACAAAACAATTAAATTATAACTAAGGTTAATTGAATTCAATACAAATATTAAGGTAAACGTCAATATGTCCACATTACCTTCTGCATGAGGGATAACAAGTATCTCCGTAACATGTGAATCCATTAGGACAGTTTTTATTTGAATCGCAAGGCGAACTTAATCTCCTGCAAACTGCTTTAGGATCACCCGACAATGTTTGAGGGCATGTACAGACTGGTTGATGGTCTTTGGTAATACATATTGCATTGGCACCACAAGTCGCAGGCTCTGCACACGGATTTATGCATTGTCCTGATATGCAAGCTAGATTTGTAGGGCATTGGGAATTAGACCTACATCCTAATACGCATAATCGACCGTCGCAAATTTCATCATCAGAACAGTGCTCATCTGAGGTACAAGCATAGCGACAAACACCTGAATCACAACGTTCACCTTGTAGGCACTCTGATCCATCAATAGTACATGCAGGTCGGCAACGATCATCTTCGCATCTCCATCCCACACCACAATCTTTATGCACACGACAAGTAGTAGTTAGCGTTCGCACGCAACCAATATTAGGCGTAGGATTTGGTATTAGGCCATCCAAACACGAACATGAAGATTTCCTCTCAATAACAGAACATACAGCATTTGGACCACAAGGATTGTTGTTGTTTGAACAAGGATTTTGGCAATAGTTGTTCTTGCATATTTCCTCCGGACCACAGTCTTCGTCATGTCTGCATCCATATTGGCAACTATTTGCTAAGCATATATGTCCCAAAAAGCAGTCATTATCTACTCTACAAGTCACTGTAAATTTAAATAACATTTTCATTTATTACTTTATTATTTCGTTTATGTTTTATTAGTTAAAACTAAAAGGTTAAATTATTTAAAGAAAAATTACCCATTGGTTGCTACTAACAAAAATTAAGCTTTTAATAAAAAGGAAAAGCCGACTTCAAAGAAGTAATAAGCTAAGACAGTGTATGAACGCTCCGACTTCAGAAGCTATTATATTTGCTGAGCCCATCTGTAGTGCTTTGAAGAGAATGATTAATATAATATGTGAATCATATCCAGGGGCTTAAATACAACGCTGTATAGAGTGAATTTTTGATATTTGGTCTGCATAACAAGAATATTACTCCTTTAAAGAAGGTGGAGCATTTTAAAATCAAATCAACAAAGGATCAAAAAGACAACTTGGATATAACCTGGCTCTATGGCGCAGTGGCCTAGTTGCGGCGATTTATGTTGCAATTTATGTTTGTAAGCTGCTTCCACGATACAGGAGAAAATCCTAGTGCGGTGCTAACATTTTTTTAAATTTATAAAAAGACAGAGAGAGAGGAGTGCGCTGTCTGTTTGATGCAATATTTTAGCCCGCAGATTTGCACGATGTTCTAGTCAAATTAAGGTTAGGCTTTTTAAAGCTTATTGCCAGTCCTTTTACACGTGCAGTCTGTGGATAAACTATAAACGGAGGACATACAGCGACCTACGTATACAATATACTAACGCGTTCAGGGTGCTGAAGGGTTGACAAAGATATCGCGTAACACAGGTACATTTCTTTTATAGAATAAGGGTTACAAACGCACACAAAGGCACACAGTCTATCTGGTGGTAAGTGGACGCTGTGGCGCATAGACATCTACATTTATCCTCGATTAAGAATTAAAATGCAGATGCGTTGTCACCCCTGAGGACTATGATAGAATGCCTCGATTCCAGTAAAAAGGGTCTTCGGTTCACTATATTCACCATACGAAACATAGCAGCATTGAGGTGCTATTTTACGCTAGTATTCTGTGAGAGCGTGGACCTACCCCGGTCGAGAAGACCCACTCGTGCTACAACCATAATATAGCTGCAGCGTGGCTCTACGAGGTATAAATAACACAAAACCTCTTGTTTTTTTGAATTCGGATAAAGATAATAAAATAATTTCTATATAATAGCTTCAAAATTCAGTGTAACTATAGAAAAATAAAGAGCTCACTTCAGCAACAAGTAACTTTTTAACTCTTTGATAACAACTAAAATGTCGTCAACAGTTTGATCTCGTATTTTTCTGCCTATTTCTTTTCTTTTTTAAATTGAACACCCCGAAATATACTTATAACATTTTTAGTAAAAAAAATCATCATTAAAATCTGTTCACACGAAGATATCGTGTAAAATACAAAATAGAATTTACAGGTGCATTTGAATTGTAAAGTTTTTGTAGTCGGCATAATATCTACAACATTAATAATATCTATGTACATACATAAGCAAATTCCTTTCGAACATTTTTCATTTACAGCACACTGTTCATCGGCTTGACATTGAGGTACACACATAGAATTATGACACTTATATCCATTATCACATTCGTCAGCAGCACCGCATAATCTTGGGACTGAAAGTATAATAGTTATATACATAGGTAATTACAAAATTAAAAAAAATATAAAAATGCATCAAATTATGGCATGTGTCACCTACTTCGAACACATTCAACGTCTTGATTCCCGGTAAAACTATTGGGGCAACTACATTGCACAATATGATTCTCAGTCCGACAAACGGAATTTAAACCACACGCCTTTTCCATTTCACAGGGATTTAAGCATTGCCCATTAATACATTTTTCACTTGATCCACATTCTTCATCAAGCAAGCATAAGGCTAAAAATATTTTAAAGTTATTAATATTTTACATACATTTACATGTAGCCTTTTTGTTTTTATTCAATTTGAGTTCAATATGAAGGTGAATAGTTATAAATTTGTTACCCTTGCAAAATCCTTTATGGCAATATTGATCACTGTGACACTCTGTTCTACTCTTACATGTGATTTCGCGCAAACGACAACCCTTTTCACTGTTAGCATTGCCAATGTAGCCATTTTTGCATTTACATTGACCTGTATGTCTTGCAGCAACACATTCGGCGTTAGGTCCACATTTAACACTTTCGCATGCATCTAAAAAAAATTATTTCAATATTTTTATAAATATACATGATAAAAATTAACTTGTCATTAAATATATTTCTTAATTATTTACAAAATTAATAAATTGCAATTTTGAATCGTAAAATAACTAACCTGTACATTTCCGAGTACCATCTATTACAGTACATCGACTAATTGTTGGACAGTCCCTATTAAAGCGACACTCCGGAGCTTTGCTACATTTCTCTTTATATGGATTTCCAATTGTTCCAACAGGACAAGTACATAGGGCTCGGTCTCTGGTATTTTTACATTCTGCTCCATACCCGCAAGGGTTTGATGCGCACCAATTTATTTTGACACAACCTTTTAGTGGATCTCCGGTATATCCAGGTTGACAGTAGCATGTATGAGTATGCTTTTCAGAGGAACAAACGGTATTTTCACCACAACTATTTTGTACTAAACACGCAATTTTACATATATTATCATCACATAGTTTATCTTCAGAGCAATCAGAGTCGATGTCACATTCTTTTCGTTTGCATCCTTTCACAGGATCACCGGAAAATCCCTCTTTACATGAACAAGTTGGTTCATGAGACTTTCCTAAGCATATAGCATTTCTCCCACATGGATGATTTTCACATATTTTAATACACTGTGCAATTCCATCTGTATTAATAACGCATTGCTCGTCTTCATTACAATTGTCATCAGAAAAACACTGAACGTCTTTCGTGCAAATCCTATTTAAACAGAATTGAGACTCAGGACAGGTACTGTTATCTGAACACGTTACTCGACATGTGTTTTGTACACAAACTTGGTTCTCCAAGCAATCCCTTGAATTTTTACATACACCTGTAATCAAAAGATTTATAACAAAATTATTAAGTTGCACATCTACTTTACGTACATGCATCAACTAAATCACATAACTCACCAACGCATAAATTATCAACACATCTTGTCCCAGAAGAACATTTATTATCGTCTAAACAATATTGAAGTGGAACGCAACCTAGAACAGGATCACCTGTGTATCCCGCTGAACAAGTGCAGTGGCCTATATGATTTTTTGAATAACAGTCGGCATTTCTACCACAAGCGCGTGGAATACTACAAGAATCTTTACATTTATAATTAACGCAAGCTTCTTCAAATGGACAATCTGTATCTTTAGTACACTCAAATTTAATGCATTTTTTATTAGGATCGCCTTGACTATTCGATGGACATTCACAGACTGGCTGATGCTTAACGATTCCACATATAGCATTTTCACCGCATTGTAATTCGTTACATGGATTTACACAGTGTCCATTTCGGCATTTAGTTTTTTCGGAACATTCATCGTCCGAAGCACATTCGCTAGGTATCTTACAATTACCATTATTAACGTCTAATACCGTGCCATTTATACAATTGCACATGTAAGAACCTGGATTATTTTCACAAGCGGCATTCAGTGGGCATGGATTACTTTTACATTCATTAATATCTTCACATGCATTGTTTACTAATACAAATCCTGTTTGACATATGCACAATTCTTTGTGATCTTCAATTTTACAGGAGCCACCTACACATGCTAGTTCATCGCATTGATCTGTAAACGATAAAAGCACATAAATATTTATGTGAATATTTGATAACTACAATTAAAATAAATTAATGGATATAATAATGAACATACCAGTACATTTGTTGTTTTTGGTGTTACACCTTTTATCCGTAGGACATTCGAAATCATCTACACATTCGACTTTAAAACATCCGATCTCTTTATCAAATGGATTTCCTAAATGTCCTTTTTCACAAGCACATGTCATTCGGTGCTTACTTACAGAGCAAATTGCATTAATTCCACAAGCATTTGTTGAGCAAGGATTGGAGCATTTTCCTTTTATACAAGCAAGGGAATCTTCACATTGTGAATCACGTCTGCATTGGTTTGATAGCAAACAACCTGTTTGATAAGGATCGCCTATGGCTCCAATTGGACAAATACATTTAAATGAACCTTGGGACTCAACACATTGTGCTGATGGATGGCACGGATTATTGATACATTCATTTATGTTAATACATTCATTGTTAATTAGTTTAAATCCTGTTTTACATGAGCATTGTTTTGCTTCGCAAACTTGATTATTGAGACAGTCTAAGTCGGTCTTACAACCGGGTATACAAATGCCAGAATTACAATGTTCGCCATGTAAGCAATTGCTACTGGAATGACATATTTTGTGACAAATGTTATCGCTACATTTTTCTCCCATTGCGCATCCCGAGTTATCTTGACAGGGAAGTTGACATAAACGGCGAATACACATATGATCCGGAGGACAGTCTGATGTTCGAGAACAAGGAGATGGTTTTCTTACGCATCCTTGTTGTGGTGTTGGTGTACCTTCAAAACCAAGTGGACATTCGCACTGCACAACATGATTTATTCTAGAACAAATAGCATTTGGACCACAAGCTCTTGTAACAAGACAAGGATTTACACATTTGTTATTTATACATGTTTCGTCACTAATGCAGTCCTCATTATTCTTACACCCAAGTAAACATTGCCCTCCCACACAGGCTTGTCCAATTCCACATTGCGTATGTTTAGTACATTGCGTTATGCATACATTTTGGACACATACTTCATCTGTATTGCAATGACTGGAATTACTGCAGGCAGAAAAACATTGACCATTAAAGCAGGTATCACCGTCACAATCATTTTTATTTCCACAAGCCAATATCTTTTTTTTGCAATTGTAATCAGTTTTTGACTTTTCGTAACCATCGGGACAAGTACAAATTGGTTTTCTGTTAACAATTTTACATACTGAATTTATTCCGCAAGCTCCTTCGCATGGATTAACGCAAAGTTTATTTATGCAGGCTGCTTCAGGAGGACAATCTTGATCACCATTATCGCATTCATTTAATTTCGTGCACCCTGTTTTCATCGGATCTCCAAAGTAACCAACAGGACATTTACATGTATAAGTTGAAAGTCGTGATTCACAAATTGCCGTTGGATGGCAAGGATTAGGGTTACATAATTCTGTTTTTCTACAATTAACCTCGGGAATAGGATCTGGTTTATATCCATTGGGACACAGGCAACTTATTCTATGATTTTCAGCTATACAAACAGCATTTTCGCCACAGGAATCATTAGTGCATGCATTGACACATGTGTGTGTCATACGATTACATAATTCATGTGACAAGCAATCAGCATTATAGATACAAGGAACTGATTGACAGCCTTTTTCTAAATCATTAGGGTTACCAGTAAAAGGACCCGACGGGCACTGACATTTTGCGATATGATTATTTGTAACACATATTGCATTCGGACCACAAACCGTTTGATGACAAGCATCAACACATTTTTTGATATTATCAATATATTTGCACATTTCACTTTCTCCACATTGTGCATCATCGAAACACTGGTTTTTATTTAATTCTATACAGCCGTGACGGTCATTTGGATTTCCTGTATAGCCATCTAAACATTGACATTCTGTTTTATGGTTTTTAGTTATACATTTTGAATTTTGAGGACATGTAAAAATCAAGCACTTGTCTACACATTTTTTAACTCCAAGAACGTCCTTTTCACAAGACTTATTGTCATCGCAATCACTATCCTTCTGACAATTTGGAGTTGTAGGTTGTTCACAGCTAGAGCTAACGGGATTCCACAGAAAACCTTCTTTACATTCACAACGAGCGCTGTTATTTATTACGTTACACACTTCATCCCCACTGCAAGCCACAGTAGAGCATAAGTCAAGACATTTCATAGTACCATCTACCGGTACGCATAGCTGTGGTTCAGTGCAATCACTGTTTAAGTTGCATTCGACTTCATTTGGTGCTTGTTTTAAATGACATCCAGATTTAACATCATTCGGTTTTCCGATGTAGCCTTCAGTACAAATGCAATGAGCTTGATGATTGGTACTTACACATAAGGAATTTGGTCCGCATTGTAATTTACTACATGAATCAACACATTTACGCACGTTTTTACTAATTTGAAGGCAAATTTCATTATCTTTACAGTCACCATCTACTACACATTTACTGTCGAAATTACAGCCCTCTTGCAAGTCGTTAGGATTTCCATTATATCCTGGCAGGCAAACACATTGTCCATCTTCACAAATAGCATTCCTTCCACACAACATAGTGCGACATGAATCTACACATAGAGACTTTTCACAGTAGTAACCGTCTGGGCAGGTATTATTTTGAGAACATGTACAAACGGAACCATCAACACACTTAGAAATTGAAACTTGTGTACATAATTCATATGGGTTTCCAAAGTATTGACTTTTGCAAATGCAACTGAAGCTTCCCGGAGTATTTATGCAGAAAGCATTTTCAGCACAAGGTTTAGAAGAGCATTCATCTATATCAACACATTGCAAATTTGGATTGCCAATGTAGCCAGGTGGGCACAGGCATTCTATATGTGATTTAGTCTGCTGACATACGGCATTTATTCCACAAGAAGTTTTTGCACAGGTTATTTGTTTTCTCAATAAGCATTTTGAATAGGGATTTCCTGTATATCCTTTATCACATTTGCAAATATTAGTTTGACCGTAAACACAATGAGCATTTTCACCGCAACCAGGTTCACATGCTGGAGGAGCAACAGCTGTAAAAATATTCAATTGTTAATCACAACTTCTAGAATGCTTATAATTTATTTAAATAATTTCTATTTACTTACGTGGCATACATAATAAGTCTGGATTTCCGACAAAGAATGCATTACAAACACATAGACCACTCTTTTCGTCACATGATGCACCTATGCCGCATACAACATTTTCACAACGTTGTCGACATCTACCTGCTAAGCAGGTAAGGGGGTCCTCACAAGGCACTCCAGGTCCACAAATATCTCTTCTGCAAGCGCCGCCAGGGAACGGATTTCCGACCATACCCTCTGGACAAACGCATGTAGGACCATTTTTCGATATTATACATTGAGCACCCGTAGCACAGGAATACTTATCACAACCTAAAAGAAAATATAAGCAGTATGGATAATTTGTACTTCTATTTCTATTTAGTTTTTTAACTTAAGAAATTATTTTATATTAAAAGTATTCACCTGAAACGCATTTTCCACCCTCAGGTTTAGTGTATCCAGGATTACAACGACACCAGGCAGCGTGATTATCAACTTCACAGAAAGCATTAGGTCCACACGTTACACTGGCACATGGGGAGATGCAAGTACGGTTGAAGCAAGCAAGATTATTAGGACACTCGTTGTCTGAACTACATAACTGTTTTTGTGATGGGCCTATGCCAAATGAACCTAAATATAAAATGCATTTGTTTATAAATTTTGTTTTAAATTTACTAAAATAAATAACATTTAATGATCATGTATTCATACGTACATCCAGTTTTGTATGGGTCTCCGACCATGTTTTGAGGGCAAACACATTGATATCCTCCTTTTTGATCATGGCAAATAGCGCCGTAGGCACATGGAGAACTATGGCATTCATTTCTATTAGTACAACCAATATAAGGATCACCTTCATATCCCGTCATACACATACATCGTGGTGGATCGCTCGGCGTACATTTAGCATTAATACCACAAACAAATCTTTCACATGGACTTTTGCATTTCTGTCCATCTTCGATGTCTACGTAAAATGGTGGTGGACAAACGCATTTACCTGGTTGTATACATTTCTCATTTGGAAAACAATCAGAATCGCTTATACATCGCTTTTGATTCAAAGTACAATGACCTGAAATTGAATCTTGACTATAACCAGACGGACACTTACACGTGTACGATCCAGCAGTATTTATACATTCGGCTCCAAAACCACAAACGGGTTGTCCTGATAAGCATTCATTTATATCTTCGCAAGCGCCTTCGCTTGATTGAGAGAATCCAGATGGGCAGGCACAATAACTGACATTCTCTGAGATAATAATGCATTCAGCTCCCTTTCCGCATTTATTTCCTTTTGCACAATCAGATAAAACGCAGTTTCCATCAACCACTTTATACGGTGGGTGACATTGACAGCTGACATCACTACACAGTTCACAGAGCGTATAAGGATTCCCACTAAATTCTGTGGGACACTTACACTCATAACTTCCAGGCAGATTCTTGCAAATGGCATTAAATCCACACGGAGAACGTCCATACAAAGTACATTCATTGATGTCTTCACATAACCCAGTTTCTTTATTGCGTGTAAAACCTTGGGAACAAATGCAAACGTTTTCTCCGTCATGGCCAACGCATTGTTCGCCTTGTGGACATGGATTCGTATTACTACATTCACTTGGATGTTTACTTGAAATGCATCCATCAACGTAAGGATCACCGCTGAAACTCCCAGGACATTCACATTGGAAATGGCCAGGGAGATTTTTGCAAACTGCTCCCAAGGCACAAGGATTGCCATCACATTCGTTGATATCTTGACACCCATTATGC